TTCCCAGAGTTTTAGATTAATGCTAAGCTTTCCCAAGAGATCTCTTTTTAACAAATCAACTGGACAATTGGGTATGATTTTGAATAAGTGCTCTAGCAGCAAAAAAAAACTGAAAAAGGCGGTGTTTTTAAAAATGTTCGGTGGGTATCCCATCTGTTCTTATAGAGAGTTTTCCATTTCTTCAGCGAATTCTCTCCACATACTGTTTCAGGTGGTGGTGCGAACTCAGGATGTCTGTTACATCCAGACCATCACTCACCCTTAATATCAGGGAGCCTGAACCAGAGGATTCTTCAACAAGTGAATCCTCTTCTTCAGTAGTTGGAGTGACAGCAATTTCCCCTGCTGCTTCATGTGTGGCAGGAGTTTGAACTACACTCTGAGAATCCTCGGGAGTTTGAACTGTAAAAGGCTGTGTGGCAGAAATTTGAACTGCACTAGTTATCTGGTGTGTCTGTGCAGGTATTGATACTGGTGATGCGGGGAGGTGCAGTGGGAATGGGATTCTGGACTGCATAATGTCTGGTTAGGAAATCAATAATCTCCTCTGTAAGAGTGGGATAACCGTACGGTGGAGGGAATAACATGAGAGGGTGTATGGGTCTGTCTATTTCTGACTCTAATGCATGTATCCTTGCTACATCTATATTCCTAATTTCAGCTTTCTTTTGTCTCTTTTTTTTCCTATAAAACCAAAGCGGAGCAAACATCACCCAATTTTGTCCACCTCTAGCCATATATTTCGGGTGTCCCACATAGGATCTCCCTCATACCATGGAAAAGCCTGTTTTTCTCCCAGACAGAGTCCTCTGACCATGTCCATATGAAAAAGCATCATTATCACCATTATGGGGAAATGGATCCACACTGCCCATTACTTCACTCCATTCTGCTAATTTATCTACCCAGGGATGAATTAAAGAATAATCTGTCCCACAGATACGGGCTACATAATCTTTTACACGTTTCACCAACATTGGGGAGAGGGGGCTTATTCCTACTCTGACTTCTCCCCATGTCTTACACACTTGAATATATCTGTATCACAAATCTGTCCTATAGGCTGTAATGACAATTTATCTTATAAAAATGCCTGGACCTAAGATACTTTCTCTAGTCTTTCTCTAGTGACTGACAAAAGTGAAGATTTTAACCTGGGTGTACAATACTTTCTAATAATATTCTGCCAACCTTTTCTAACTTACAACACAATCTAAACAAAACATTTACATAGGCACCCAACTCAGTGTTGTTCACCTCACCCAGATCATCAACCAATAAAGCTTAGCTGAAGGGGTGGAGCATGTCACACTGAAATTGACAACACCTTCAGTAACCGCTGGTCCATACACTTTACCACCTGGACACTTGTGTCACACAAACAAATTATCTTATACTTCTATGCGATAGGAAGATAAGCAAAGAATTGCAGGGCAAAACTGATCAACCCCGGACTTTTTCTGGTTTCTTCTTCAAAGAAACTCTTTTCAGTCCCTTCTCATAAGAGACTTTGCAGTTCCCAAAACTGCTCCGGTCTTTTCCAAAAAGACCTTGTGCTTCCCACAGCACTCTGCGCCTGGCCACTGGCGTCTTATGACGCGAGGTCCAGTGCTACCATAGGGCATGAAATTTTTATCAGAGCCTTACCGGCAAGAGACTATTTTGGCAAAATGACAAAAAATCTTACTTACCGAAAGGGTGATTATCTCATCCCGGACACGAGCCCCCAATTGAAAGGAATTGACTCTCGTTCCTCTCTAGCCACTGACCCCCGTCAGTCCCTGGCATTGATCAGTGTTTGCCCCTCAGATCTGGAGTTCACCCGAGACACAGGAATTGCAGACAGACACAAGGTGGTATCTAAGAATGAACTAAATTTATTCTTCCGTGTTTAAACTTATATGTGAAACTTAAAACAATGCATAGAAATATAAGAACCAATCAATTGACAGATATGCATTAACCAATCAAGATATTACATACGTCAGTCATGCCCAATCATTTGGCATCCATGTAAATTTTATTAAGTGCGTCAAACATGAACTTTTGTTCAGTATAGAAAGTAGACAATTTCCCTATTTAACATTGGCTATAATTATTAATAATCTTGCGACAGGATATATCCAACCGCAGGCTTTCAGTCTTGTGCTAGCTAAAGGAAAAAGGGGAAGTTACACCTGAAGGAAAAAGAGGAACCTTAGACTCTTATCGAAAGTAAAGAACAGTCTTAAAACACAAATTCATCTTTAAGTATTGACTAAGTTTCAAAATGGATACTTATCTTAAAATGGCAGAGCTTAGGCTAAGGGACAAAATGGCGGTATAGTAATGCTGAAAGGCTAATTCCTTCAAACAAGTAGTCTGAATTGTTGTGCAATACATCTGGAAATATTTAAATGTTTCAGTCCAATGATTATACGCTGGAAGGGTGGAATAATAGGCTACGGCTTGGAGTTGTGTAGCATGATAGTAGGTAATAATATTAGGAAATGCTAATCCACCTTCGAATCTAGAGGCATAAAGCACTGATCTAGGAACCCTATGCTGTTTTTATAGGCCTGTACAAAGTTTAGTAGGTCCTCTTGCAATGTTTTGAGATGGGCCATAAGTATAGGTATTGGTAGAGTTTGGCAAAAATAAAGAAGTTTCAGAACAGTATTAATCTTAATAGAGATAATACGACCCAGTAGGGAGATATGCAAAGATTTCCAACTATTCAAGGACTCCCATGTGAATTTAAAGAGGTAACTTTCCTTATAATGTGAGCCATGGGATGGACTAATGCAGATTCCCACGTATTTAAGGGAAGAGGTATTCCAGGCATAAGGAAAGATAGTGGAAAGCCATTGAATCTCCAACTGGGGCGTATTGAGTGATAGGGCTTCAGATTTGGATGGGTTAATCTTATAGCCCGATAGACGGCCATAGTGTTCCAGGATTAGGTAGGGTAATCTGTGTCAAGGAGAGGATTACATCGGCAACAAAAAGGGAGATCTTAAATTCTTTACCTCTAACAGGTATGCCATGAATGTCAGGGTTTTTGTGAATGTGGACCACAAGTGGCTCAATACAGAGTGCAAATAGTAGAGGTGACAAAGGGCAAGCCTGTCGCGTTCCATTTGAAATTGGAAACAACGAAGAAATCGTATATGGTGTTTTACTTTGCACCATAGGATTGGAGTAAAGATGCATAATTGCCCAAAGAAACAGATTCTTAACACCCACATATTTAGGCGGACCCTTAACACCCACATATTTAAGGCCAGCTGAGGCAATCAAATGCCTTTTCTGTGTCCAGACTTAACAACAAAGCTGCATGATTGTCTATATTGGCCACCTCTATAAAATCTATCACTTCCCTAGTGTTGTCTCCTGCCTGTTGGAAAGGAACAAATCCAACCTAATCTATTGATTAGGGAGGCGAGGAATTCACATAGCCTTATCAAGTGAAGTTTAGTGAAGATTTTCAGGTCCGAGTTCAGTAAGGCAGTCGGCCTCTAAATGGTGCATAGAGTATGATTCTTGTCAGGTTTAGGTATTAGATTAAGATAAGAACTCTGCATATCTAGAGGCATTTGTCCATCTTGCACAAAATCATTAAAAAGTTCCACCATAAAGGGTAAGAGTATTGGTAAAAAAAAGTTTTGTTATATTTATATGGCAGACCATCAGGTCCAGGGGCTGTATGTGTAGGGAGCTGCTTATAGCAATTCTAAAGGTTAATTTTTTTCTGTAACATAACAAACATGTCATGCTTACCTGCTGTGTGTAGTGGTTTTTCACAGTCTGGATCCTCCTCTTCTCAGGTCCCCCCGCAGGCTCTCCTGGAACCTCCTGTCGGGTGCCCCCACAGCAAGCAGCTGTGTCCATTCACATACGGAGCTGCGGCTTGGCCCTACCCCCCTCTCTCTCCTCATTGTCTGACTGGCTGTGGTTAACAGTAGTGGAAGCCAATGGCTCCTGTTGCTGTCTCAGCCAATGAGGAGGCAGAGACCCATGACAGCCGAGGCTGTCATTCACATCGCTGGATTGCCATGAGGCTCAGGTAACCTTCAGCCTTTGCAACCACTTTAAGTGTAGCCTCAATTTCTTCATCAGTTATGGAGGCATTGGGTGAATGAAGAGCAAAGGTGGATAGTTTGGGGATCCCACTGTGCTCCAGGTATAGCTTTATCTGACAGTGGGAGTCCCTGAGCGAGCGGATTGTCCACTATGGAGTCATTATTATTTAAAGATAATTAGTATTCTTGAAAAAACATGAGCTATGGAGGCCTTGCAAGTAAAGAATGAGACTTGTTACCTTTATCATAAATAAAATTGTCTCAAGAGAGTTAATGCCTTTTGAATTTTACCTAAGGCTATTTCCTTAACCACTAGCCTACAGGGCACTTATACCCACTTCCTGCCCAGGCCAATTTCCAGCTTTCAGCGCTGTCACACTTTAAATAACAATTGCGCGGTCATGCAACATTGTACCCATATGCAATTTTTATCATTTTTTTGAGACAGATAGAGCTTTCTTTTGGTGGTATTTAATCACCTCTGGGATTTTTATTTTTTCTTAAACAAACCAAAAACCACTGAACATTTTGAGAAAAAAATGTTTTTTCTTAGTTTTTGTTATACAATTTTGTGAATAAGTGATTTTTCTCCTTCACTGATGTGCGCTAATGAGGCGGCAGTGATGGGCACTGATAGGCTGCACTGATGGACACTGATAGGTGGCACTGATGGGCACTGATAAGGAGGCACTGGTAGGTTGCACTGATGGACATTGACATGCATCACTGATGGGCACTGAAAGGCAGCACTGATACATGACACTGATACATGACACTGATAGGCGGCACTGATAGGCAGCACTGACTGACACTGATAGGCGGCACTGACTGGCACTGTTAGGCAGCACTGACTGGCACTGTTAGGTGGCACTGACAGGCGGCACTGACTGGCACTGATAGGCGGCACTGGCTGGCACTGACTGGCACTGATAGGCGACACTGACTGGCACTGATAGGTGGCACTGATTGGCAGCACTGATAGGTGGCACTGATTGGCATTGATAGGCGGCACTGACTGGCACTGATGGGTGACATTGAAAGGCAGCTCAGATGGGCACTGATATGTGGCATTGATGTGCACTGGTATGCACTGATATGTGGCATTGATGTGGCACTGATGGGCACTGGCACGTGGCACTGATGAGCACTGACAGGTGGCACTTCTGGGGCCACACTGATCATCAGGGCACACTGATCATCAGTGCCCGGATGATCAGTGTACATGTCCCCTCCGCGGAAAGCCGATTACCGGCTCTCTTCTCCTCTCGAGCTGTCAGCGTGACAGCTCGAGAGGAGAGAAATGCTGATAACCGGCATTTCTGTGTTTACATGTGATCAGCTGTGATTGGACACAGCTGATCACATGACCGAACCGACATCTTCGGCTCTTTCCGTGATCCGCTGTGTTCGAGGGACACAACGGACCGGCGATCACCACGCTGCATTTAATTCACAAGGGAAGGGCTAAACATTTAATTCACAAGGGAAGGGTTGGGTAAATATGGAAGGATCACTAATTAAAGCACAGCTAGGGAAGATTGTATGGATACCACATAAATTTTGTACATAGATGAGAATACTAGTCTTTTAACAAAAAAAGTGTTAGGTGTGTGGGATGGAATTTATAAGCAGAAAGGATGGAAATACAACTCTGGTTTGACTCCTTTAGTAGGTACTGAGTACTTTCTTCCTGGGAAGGATACAATTTCTGGCAAATAGAATAAAGTTAAAAATGCACGTTTGAGGGATATTTTGTACAAAGGGAAGTTACACACATACCAAGAGTTAAAAAGAAAAAAAAAATTTATTTTTCACATTAGATGAGTGGCGATATGGACAATTAGGACATTTTGTTTCATCGCTCCTCCAACCACTAGAGACCCATTTGAAAAATGGTTGAATGTAAATACAGTTCCAAAACATGCCACTTCCAGGATATATAAGATCCTGTTATATATGGAAGGAGCTGATCCTCCTGGGTTCTTGGAAAACTGGGAAAAGGGTTTGGAACAGAACTGAATGAACAACAAAGGAATAAAATATTTAAATTAACATATGGGGTGACAAACATGAGAACAGTAGAAATTAACTATAAATGTTTGATGAGATGGTATATTACACTGTGTGTGACACAAACAGAAAATGGATGTTTCACCTTTATATTGGAGAGGCTGTGGTAAAAAGGGTACAATGGCACATATATGGTGGAATTTCCCGAAAATACAGGATTTTTGGAAAGAAATAATTCATTGTATCCAGGAAATCAGTGAGATTACTACACAAATGGACCCATTGGTATGTCTATTTTATTTAGAGCTTGTAGGCAAACAGTATAAAAACAGGGTATTTATACCATTTAATCAGGGTGGCTAAGGGCTTGATTCCCAAGTTTGGCGAGCCCCGCCAAGAATAAATGATTGGCTATATAGAGTGGAAAATATTTTTAGGAAGGAGGAAATGTGTCATATGGAGGAGGATAAAATGGAAGATTTTAGGAAAATATGGAGTAATTGGTTGGACTTAAAAACATCGAGAAGATACTCAGAACTAGTATGGAGTTTAGAGGGAAAAGTCCAAGGAAGACTGATGGGGAACTTGAAAGAATGACAGGCTGTTAGAAGGATGTGGACATAGATATTGTTAGATAAGATAAGATGAATAAGAATGTAATTAATTAAGAGCTGTACAGGGGTTTTAAGATGGGGGGGGAAGTAGGAAGGGGTAGGATATAAGATATTCTAAAGTAGATCTTTTGAACCCGTCAATGTGATGTATATTGGGTTGTTAAATGTTTTTTATTATTTTTAAATTGGAAAACTAAATAAAGATATAATAAAAAAAGACTGCTCTAACTGCTGATGAAAAATGTATTTACTATAGCAGTTTATATTTACTAAAATAATTATACTTCCATGTTCTGTTTACAGTGTAAGCCAGATATAGTGAATGCAGGGTCCTGGGGTTAGTAACACTTTAAGAATAGTCTTGAGGTCGATAGTGTCTTTTAATTTGCTCGGCGATGGGGTCATGTTCAACTGCATCTCAAGTGATCTCAGTTTCTGTTCAGTCTGAACTTTAACCATATTAGCCTGTTTTTTCATGGTCAAGGATAAAGCTATACAGTACACTGAACTCTAAATACTCTTTTGTGTTGTTTTCAACAAAGTATTGTTTAAGGCCCACTTTAACATTACTTTTACAATGTACCTTTTTTGTCAGATCACTTTTACTGCTATCACAAGGGATGAACAACATCCCTTGTGATTGCATGGGCCATGGCTAGTCCTCTTTGTGGAGATATCTAGGGTCTATTAGATGCTAGCTTCAACTACAATCCCAGTATAACCTTTTCAATATCAGGCCCAGGGGTGGACTGACAACTCATGGGGCCCCCAGGCAATAGGGGATCATGGGGCCCCTGTGTCCTTGCCCAAACTCAAAAATCCTATGAAAAAAGGTACCAGGGGCATCTCATGGGGCCCCCTACTGACCCCGGGCCCTCAGGCTGTGCCCGAGTTTCCAAATGGTCAGTCCGCCCCTGAGGCCCTAAATATAAGTACTGCAGTGTTGAAGCGGTTAAACTTCTGTCAAACTTGCTTACACACACTCACATACACCTTGCATTATTTTATGTTATTATCACAATTATTTTAAAAAGGTTTTGGGAGCATAAGGCAACAGCTTTCTGGATATGAAATTGTTGATTTAAAGTCAGAACCTCATACAGCAATATATTTAAAGTACAAAAGCACTCCAGTAGTGGAAATCACCTTATACTGTACATTTCACAATATTTGTTAAACACTTAAAACTGATTGAAATAGTAAGTGATTTAGAATTTTGTAGGGGATCCCTTCAGCATACATAAAAATAAAAAAAAAAAAACATAAATGAAAATAGAAAAATAAATAGAAATAAAAAAATATGGTGGACATCAACCCAGGTGAGTAAACAGAGGAATAATGACACTAAATTTCTGTCTTATTTGCTTTCCTTACTAAAATTCAAAAATGGTTAGAACCAGGTCTAGGTCTTCCTGCCACAGTGATATGAAGTGGTAGGATTTGTTCCCAAAAGGGTCATGTAGAGCTCTTTCCAAACTAATTGACAGGGCTCTAAAGGAAACCTTTCTTGGGAATAAATACCTGTGAATGCATCCTGCTCTTGACACTGATACTTCAGCTTTGCCATCTTACCTGCAACAAGTGTGCAACTAATAAAGTTGGAATTATAAAGCTGCACATTAGTTCTGGGTCAGAGATTTCACAGATTGTGAAGAAAAACCATTAGCTGAAGTTTCATGTGTCTTGTTTTCTTTTAAGCTAAGAACATCCAGTATTCTTGCAATATACTGTATATATATATATATATATATATATATATATATATATATATATATTTATAATTATTTGCTTAATCACAAATAGCCATAAGGAATCAGTTGTTTAGGAGCCACATCCAAATACATTTCCCCCCTCTTAATTTGAGTGGATCAAAACCTTCCAATCTTAAAATCATTTGACTTTTACTGATGCAACTCAAGTAGATCACTATAAATATTTCATCATATTAAGCGGGTTTCATTAATTAAGAAGAAACATAATTTTCGCAAAATGGATACAACTGCTGCTAGGATTACTCATTTTAATATATTTTTGACAATCTTATTATAAAGTGAATGAAGAACTAAGATGGTTAGAGGCATTTTGATTTAATAGTTGGAAAGAGTAAAAGTCCAAAAACATTGTTGAAACTTATGCATATTCTCATTAAATTTTGGCTACCTTGCTAAACTGGCAGTGACTTCTTTCTTTGTTTCCCATGGGGAAAACTTAACATTTTGCTCTTAAAATTTATAGAAGCAATAACTCAGTTGAGCCAAATGATTCAATTTGAAAATACCACATGAAAATCAAAGCTCTGTCATGGCTGTCAAGGGTTCAGTCTACATGGATACATAATTTGCTCCTCCATGCATTTTTTATTTCAACATTTCATGTAGTGTTCTTTAAAGTCAGTGCTTTGTGAAAAAATCTACCTAGGTCAGGAATAAATAGCTAGAAATACTAATACTTGACACAATAATATGCTGTTATGAACACATGAAAAAAGCATATTCACAAGAAATGTATTGCTTCACCGAATGGCTATATTAACATTTTTAAAGACTTGGTAAGAGAATAGGTAAGCATTACTTTATAAATTTAACATCTGGTTACTTCATCTTTCCCAAAGTTCTCATATAATGATGCACATAGTTGATTGCCAGTAAAGACCAATGTCCACTGGCAACAGATACTACATCAAATCAAAGAATTAATAGACACATTTTCAAGATGTCCAAATATTTTATATGTACTAACTGCAGTTTGACTTTTAAGGGTCATTCAGACAGGAGTAGGCAAAAAAAATGTTAAATGTGCACAAGAATGTACTTAATAGTGTCTGTATTTTGAAAGCTAAACCATGTTCCTTAAAGCCAAATTCTGGGTTTAGATCCCCTCCTACCCCTATCAGAGTACCCAAACTCTTTTAGAATAAAATCCTGCATACATACCTTTTTCCCAGGTGTCTTCAGTAAGTTGATAATGTCACAGGTCATCTTCACTCTCTTTTTCATCTAGTTGAAGGAGGTTCAAAGAGTCTATAACGTCCATAGTCCATATTAAATAGACATATAGCTGTAACTCCAGCGGCTGCTATCTTCAGTTTGGACAGCTCTACATGAGATAAAAGAGAAAGAAGGGGGAAAGCGCCATCTAAGTGTAATATTAAAAAATGTGTGGTTTTATTCACACATGTTTAAAAACACTCACAGTAGAAAGAATATATAAAGGCTCATCTGTTTTGCATGGTCCACTGCTCCTCTCCATCCCGCAGGTACCATCAGATGAAAAAAGAAAGAACACACCAATGTCTATAAAAAAATACCTCATGACCCAATATCCACTTTCTCCGATGAGGCCACATTATTATTCAACCAAGCACTTACAGATAGTATCATTTCACCAGCTGAAGCATCTTTCCTTAAGATGGATTTTTACACCACCCCATATTTTTTTATCACCTGCCAAAAATCCATAAAGATTTACATAATCCACCATAATTCATCATGGCCACTATGGAGAGTGTCACTAGTGACTTCTCCATATGTATAGATCAGTTCCTACGGCCACTCACCCAGGGCCTGCCATCCTATATTTGGGATGGAATGCATCTATTAGACATGCTTTTACCATACACTTATTAGCCTTCATATCTTTGGGTTTCCTTCGATGTGACCTTTCTCTACACCTCAATTCCTCAAGAAGTGGGTTTCTGGGCTGTCTAGTATTTCCTTGCCGAGCACCCCCTCATGAACCCTAGGCAGGCCCAGTTCATCCTGTTTTGTTTGAAACAGAATTATTTTGAGTTTGATGGTGTCTATTTCCT